TGAACCTGGCCTGTCTGCTTATTGGCATAGCATGGCAGGGTACCCACTTCTGCCTTTCTTTTTTATTTATCATTATAGTGTGAAATACACAAATTACACCATTATGTTCTGGAACTGTAATTCATGGTAGATGTTTCCATCATGCTCATGAACAGATCAGCATCTCAAAAGATACTCATCAAACCTTCCTGTGAAGTGACTGAAGAATCCATTTTCATTCTTTCCTCAACATCAGAAATTGCTTCCTTTTAGTTAGTATCCACATCACCTGCTTCTACTTTCACCACCAAAAAAACTAAACACTGTTTCACTGAGTAAGTAATCCATCCTCTAGAAATTGATCATATTTACAACATGGTTTATGTCCTGTAATCAATGACACTGAGCATCTTCTATTCTGCTGGACCTACTTTCAATAACGTTTGCCTGGAGGCAGGACAGGTGACCCGGCAGTAAGAGCACTGGTGGCTCATCCAGAGGAGCCGGGCTGGACTCCCAGCACCTGGAACTCCAGTTCCAGAGAATTGGTCCCCCTCTTCTGGCCTCTGTGGACACTGAATTCATGTGGTGCGCAGAAGTACACACAGGCAAAACACTCACATACATGAAAGAAGGAAAAACTAAAGAAGGAAGTAGAGAAAGGAAGAAAGAGAGAAAGAAAGAAAAGATTAGGTGTCCCTAGGGTCTATAGAGATGGCTCAGTGGTTTAGAGCACCTGTTGCTCTTGCTGAAGACCTGAGTTCAATTCTCAGCTTCCACACAACAGCTCACAGTCATCCTAACTCCAGCTTCAGGGTCTCCAATACTCTCTTCTGACTTCCACAGGCACCAGGCATGTACATGGTACACATATATACATGCATGCAAAACATTCATACACATAAAATTGAATAAACCTTTTTTTAATTTTAAAGTATTTGTTTCCAATAATAGGCTTCATCTTGGAGCCAGGCGTTGGTGGCGCTTGCCTTTAATCCCAGCACTCGGGAGGCAGAGGCAGGTGGATCTCTATGAGTTCGAGACCAAGCCTGGTCTACTGAGCAAGTTCCAGGACAGGCTCCAAAACAATATAGAAAAACCCTGTCTCGAAAAAAAAAAATAGGCTTCATCTTGGAAGGTCGACCTCAGTCCTGATCTCAGGCATAACTTTTTGTTGTTGTTGTTTCTTGAGACAGGGTTTCTCTGTGTAGCCCTGGCTATCCTGGAACTCACTCTGTAGACCAGGCTAGCCTCAAACTCACAGAGATCCACCTGCCTCTGCCGCCTGAGCACTGAGATTAAAGCATGCACAGCCACCACTGCCTGACCTCAGGCATAACTTTGCAGACAGGCTCCAAATTTTAGAGAAGGATGCTAAGTAAAAGTACGTCAAAAAGTTTACTGGGACTCTCAACTCTGAAAATTCCTTCCTTATTTCCACAGCGACTTCGTCAGTGCACTCTCTTGCTAGGCCTCTCTTCCCTTGCATTTACGGCAGCCAGACCATCTTTAGCTGTAACCCTTCCACAATCATCAGGGTTTGCTTTACTTTCTATTCCTGGGAACTTTTGCAAAAGATGTTTTTGCTTGGGTTATTGTTGTTTTACCCTCCAGATACTTCAAGTTTAATCAGATTGTTGGAAGTTTTAAAAATAAATGTGTGTGTGAGAGAGAGAGACAGAGAGAGAGACAGAGAGAGAGAGACAGAGAGAGAGAGACAGAGAGAGAGAGAGCGCTGAACCCAGGTTCTCTGCAAGAGCCATAAGTGTTACTAACCTTTTAACCATCTCTACAGCCCTAGATTGTTGAATCTTTTATTTACATCATCTACCTGAAAACTATTCATATCCCTAAATCCATCAAGATCTGTACAGTTGTCTCCTTTTCACCTCGTTTATATTTGAAATCATCCACTAGTCCTTTATGTTATTTGAATCTTTCCTTACTAAGGAATCTTATTTGACAAACTGCACTGGGAGTAAAATCTTTAACATCTTCAGAACATCCAACTCAAGCTTCCCTCCCCACTCAAGATATCATGAGATTATTGGTCAGTTTATGATGGGGATATTTCTGAAATATGGCATATTGTATTGTGGTTGAGAAACCTACCCTTCAATCACTATAAGTGATGTGACTATTTTTATTGGAAAGCAATTTAAATTTTTAGTAGTAGCTTCTCAGATTTTGAACATTTTAATGAGTGTGGGACATTTAAAGTTGTATTGTTTTAATAATATTTCAATATTAGCATGAGATCTTGGGGACAAGGAAAAGTTATAGTTTAACAGCAATGTGTTTTTTTGTGATAAGCTGACAAAGAGTGGACTTGTGATAGATAATCTTGGTTGTCAACTTGACAGACTTGGAGAGACTCAATCAGCTGAGAAATTGTCTCCATCTGATTGGCCTGTGGGGAAAGGGCATTTTCTTGATTTCTAGGGAGGGCCCAGCCTATTGTGGGCAGTATATTCCCTAGGTAGGAAAACCTGGGGAACATAAAAAGCTAGCCGAGAAAGGCAAAGGCAGCGATCCAATAAGCAAAGTTCCTCCGGGATTTCTGCTTCGATCCTTTGCTCTGGGTTCTTGCCCTGACTTCCCTCAATGATAGACTGTACTGTAACCTATAAGAAAAATAAACCCTTTCCTCTCCAAGTTGACTTTCATCTATGCTTTATCATGGCGACAGAGAAAAAACTAGGACACAAGAATAAATGGTAACATACTCCTAGTTACAGGTGTCCTTTTGAACAGTAGAGACATCAATATAGTGTTCTGTGTCTTTAAAACAATCTCCTTCTCTAAATTCAAACTTCCCAATCCTACAAAACTCTTTTTTTCACTCATCCTGATTGCCTGGGCACTTCAAATAGTATGTAGTGTTGTAACAGGACTTACAGAAACAAAGGATTCCAAAGAGAGGAGATTTTTTCCCCCAAGAATCTTGTACTGGGAAAAAAATTGATTTCCCATAGTTCTAACAATTCAGAGTGTTATAGAAATAACATGCCTTCCACACATTCAGAGATGCAAGAAAAGCCCTGTAATAGCAATGGTCTGCCTCTGGCTAATGCTCAAAGAAGAGCTGGCCCTGAACAGTAGATTTTACTCTCTTATATACACCTGAGACTTACGCACTACACATACATCATCCTTCAATGTCCTTTACGTCTCACCAGAGGTTATACTTTGAACAATTTAAACAGAGTGCAAGACTCGTCACTTGAGCAGATGGGAGATTTTTACAGCAAAGATATTACCAAAATTCTTTTTTTTTCCCCCTCCAAAACTGGGTTTCTCGGGCTGGAGAGATGGCTCAGAGGTTAAGAGTACTGACTGCTCTTCCAGAGGTCCTGAGTTCAATTCCCAGCAACCACATGGTGGCTCACAACCATCTGTAATGAGATCTGGTGCCCTCTTCTGGTATGTGCAGACATACATGGAGGCAGGATGTTGTATTCATAATAAATAAATAAATCTTTAAAAAAAAACTGGGTTTCTCTGTGCAACAGTCCTGGCTGTTCTGAAACTTTCTCTGCTCTCAACCTCAGAGATTCACCTGCCTCTACCTCCCAAGTGCTGGGATTAAAGGCATACACCACCAATGCCCGGTGAGGTATTCTTTTTTGGGGGGGGGTTGAGACAGGGTTTCTCTGTGGCTTTGGAGGCTGTCCTGGAACTAGCTCTTGTAGACCAGGCTGGTCTCGAACTCACAGAGATGAGCCTGCCTCTGCCTCCCAAGTGCTGGAATTTAAGGCATGTGCCACCACTACCCAGCGATATTATTCTTAATAGGATGACTGAAGACAAGAAAAGGACTCTGAGAGATACTGAGACCTTCCACAGTGCTTCCAGGGAGGGGATGTTCCTCAATATTACTGACTTCCTCTGACAGAGACTGTTAGACTATCTACCCAATTCAATTGCTGGGGAAGAGTGGCAGGAAGGGGGAGAGAGTCAAGAAATGGATGCTTTTTAAAAAAAAAAAGATTTGAATAAAAGTCATCCCTTGTGGCAAAGCAGAACACATGATCATTTTGAAGGTCTCTTACTTTGGAATAGGTTCTTGCCAGATCTCTTGACCCCAAGCTATACTGGTCCATTTCCCTCATCCAGTTCTCTCCTGATCACAGAGGCATTAAACTTTTGAAATAACTTGAGGGACTGTCATATGCCACGCATGCCACCTCCTTTGCTGGACCAAATCTGAAGATTTTTTTTCTTCTCTATAAGTCAGTCTCACTAGGTAGCCCAAGTTGATCTCAAATCCGTGGTCTTCCTTGCTGGCAGGTACTGCAGGGGTGTGCCACCCGCAGCCAGCTCATATCAGGATCTACATCCACCCAAGACTCCACATACTCAGGGCTTCTTCCTCTTCCACACCTTTTACCTTGAGACACTGAATACAGCAGCCGAACTCCCAGCCAGCTTCTATGGAGTCTCCTGGTTCTATCTCCCATCTCTACATGGGAGCCCAGAGGCTGCAGACACCTGTGTTGCTTCGTTCAGCTTTTAAGTGGGCTCTAGGGATCTGAATTCAGGTTTATCAGGTTTATACAGCAAGAGTTTTACCCATGGTGCCACAAACTTTGTCTTGGTCCAGCTTTGTCATTGCCTTGCTGGGTCATCTTCAGCTTCGGTTTTCTGTACCTTTGGGTTTGTTGAGGATTTTGTTCTTTGTGTTTATTTGTTTGTTGAGGCAGGGTTTCACTGTGTAGCTTTGGCTGACTTAGAACTCACTGTGTTGATAAGACTGGTCTTGAACTCACAGAGATTTGCCTGCTTCTGCTGCCTAGTGCTAGGATTACAGGTCTACGTCAGACTTGGTTTTCTTCTTTTACAATAAATAGGCTAGATACAATAATTCCTCTTCATTTTTTGTTTGTTTTGTTTAGACACAATGATTTTTGACTCTAAGTCCAAAAGCATTCCTCATTGGTAAAATGAGGTCCAAGAATGCTGGTGACATCATAAAGAGAATCCAAGCGAACAGTCAGATCTTTCTAGAAGCCTGGGCCATAGTTGGCATTGAGCTCAGCTTTAGGAGAGAAGGAGACCCAGGAAAGGTCCTTCGAGTTCTGTGTTTGAGCTCTCTTTATTTCAGGGTTCCAGCACAGTCATGGATCATACCTTGAAGATAGATGATGCTCGTTATGATACACATCTTAGTTCAAGCTATTACTCCCACTCACGAACCTCCCATGCACACCATCAGCCAATCCACCACGGTGCATTCCATCATTCTCATGAGTCCCATCACCAACCATCTCACCACCTTATTGGATCCCACCATCAAAATGGGTCCCATCACCAACCATCTCACCACCTTATTGGATCCCACCATCAAAATGGGTCCCATCACCAACCATCTCACCACCTTATTGGATCCCACCATCAAAATGGGTCCCATCATTTCCATTTCCATGAGCACTCAGATTTCCATGGGGGCACACTGTCACCTCAGCCCCATCACCACATCAGATCCCATATGTACAGTTCACCTAGTGCCATCCCTCACCACCATGGTGGGCCCCAGGATGACCCTCACTCCCATACTGAGTTCTTCCAACATAGCGAGTTCCAACACCACAGCAGACAGCACCATCATGGAGGGTACCATCGAGCTAGTGAAACTTTTTCCCACTTGTCCTCTATTGGGTCGCACAGCCAAAGGAATGTTTCCCAGCATGGGAAACCCCATTATGGTACTATGTACCATCAAGTCCACCACTATGGCAGGCCTCACCATCCTGAATCCCACCACCACCAAAGGCAGCCTCAATATGGAGAGGGCCCCTCCTTCCTCTCCTTTGAGGGGTCCTACTACCAGGGAAGATTTCATCCCCATGAGAGCCACCATGGGAGCCACCATGGGAGCCACCATGGGAGCCACCAAGCCTATCACCATGGTGAGCATCCCCACCACAGAGAGCACCATCACCACAGAGAGCACCATCATGGCGAGCATCCTCACCACAGAGAGCACTCCCACCATCATCATCGGAGCACCTCCCAACTCTCCTTCCAGCACAGTGCAGTTGGTGTCTCCCCTTCCCATATGGGCACCAAAAGCTCAGTCTACAGTGTGCCTCACTCCCACCTGGCATCTCGATCTCAGACCTCTCGTGTTTCCAGCAAAATTCATCCTAAAGAGAGCCTCAAAGAATCAGACTCCTGGAGTGACAGTGAGCAAATTCAGAAGCGCAAAAGTGAGTCTTTGCGGCCGGGAGGTGGTGGTGCACGCCTTTAATCCCAGCACTCGGGAGGCAGAGGCAGGCGGATCTCTGTGAGTTCGAGGCCGGGCTGGACCGACAGCCTCCAAAACAATACAGAGAAACCCTGTCTCGTAAAAACCAAAAAAAAAAAGTGAGTCTTTGCTGGGCCTGCAACCCAGACTCCTGCTCCCTCCCTCAGATGCCTAAAGGTCTAGCCCAGACCCTGAACTGACTTTCCACACATCAGGAAGCCCAGAGGCATCCCGTCAGCCATTGGCTCTCCTTGCCACTTACTGTCCCACTCTCTCTGTTTCTTAAGCTACGATTCTGGAGGCCACGCAGCGCCCCTTCGTTTAGTCACTGCTTTATTCATTCTCATGTTCATGTCTTGGCTGTTGAGGCTCACATCAAGCGTGGGTACCTGTGATCCTGGCAAGACAGTGAAGAATCTGGGGCAGTTGCTGGGTCACAGGGTCCAAAGCTAGCGGTGTGTACAATGACAGGAGCCTGCCATCTTGTATATCAGGACATTTGTCTCTATGGATTCTGTGTCCGCCTTTGCCCCACTAAACTGAGACCATTGCTGAGGATATACCCTGGACATCAATGCTAAAAGGAGAAACCAACTTACTGGGAGAGACCTTAACTGTTACAGTCTTGCCGGGCGGTGGTGGCACACGCCTTTAATCCCAGCACTCGGGAGGCAGAGGCAGGTGGATCTCTGTGAGTTCGAGGCAGGGCTGTACCAACAGCCTCCAAAACAATACAGAGAAACCCTGTCTCGTAAAACAAACAAAAACCAACAACAACAACAAAAACTATTACAGTCTCCCAGACTCAACAGCAACAGTTTCGTGATCTATCTGAGAGGGATAGGCGACTTACTGAATGGGAACAGGAAAAGCAGTCAGGGGAAGGGACAATTTAGCAGGATCTTAAATGGGAAAAGAGATCACCAAGAGGGAAGGATGGTAACAAGAATTAGATTTTCTTTTAGTTCCATTTGAGCAAAGACAGATCTAGAAGCTGGGCAGTGGTGGTGCACACCTTTGATCCCAGAACTCTATGAATTTGAGGCCAGCCTGGTCTACAGAGCAAATTCTAGGACAGGCTCCAAAGCTAAACATAGAAACCCATCTCAAAAAAAACAAAGGGAAAAAAGATATGGAGTCATAGGGTCAGGAACTCTTAGGACCTGCCAAACAAATCCCAAACAGTGTGGCCCCTGATGTGGAAGGTTTAAGAACTGTGGCCCCAGCCGGGTGTTGGTGGCGCACGCCTTTGATCCCAGCACTTGGGAGGCAGAGGCAGGTGGATCTCTGTGAGTTCGAGTCCAGCCTGGTCTACAGAGCTAGTTCCAGGACAGCCTCCAAAACAATACAGAGAAACCCTGTCTCAAAAACCAAAACAAAAAAAGAACTGTGGCCCCAAGACCAGCACAGGGCAAGCACAGTGTCATTTGTGAATGGGCGAGAGGAGGGATGGTAAGGAGGGTGCCTGGGGTCACTGTACTCCATCACTACCTGCCTAGGCATAACTTTCTAACCTGCTTACAGGGACCCAGAGGGCCCACAAGAAGCTGCACTCCGGGAATATCTTCCAACGGATTTGGGAAAAAATATCCAACCTCCTTTGGGGTCTCCGAAAAATGATGATGTCACTGACTCAGTCCCTGAGCTTTGAAGCCTTTATCTTTGTCGTCGTCTGCCTCAACACAGTCATCCTTGTGGCCCAGACCTTCACTGAGCTAGAGATCAGAGGTGGTAAGAGTTAGGTGGCGCTGTTCCTATGCTCCAGGGCATCCCGTGAGCCCTATCCAGTGTAGGCGGTCTTTAAAACTTGTTACTTCATCTTCACCCCCTGACAACTTGGTGATATTCCCGGAGGTAGAAATATTATATTACTGAGAACATTGCAGAAACCCCACTAAACTGTAGGCTTGCTGTTCATGATGCAGCCGCTAGGTGGCGCATTTGCTCTAAATATGTTCTGTGTGTGTCAGGCTTGATGGGAATTCAGGGTCTACCAGAGCCTGGGAGGGTAAAAGTGGAAAGCCTGAGGATGTTGGCCTCTGAAGCCCAATAGAGCAAGATGAAGAGAAAGATTCACCACATGCCCACAGTTCAAGGACATGCTAAATGCATTTATGCTTATAGACAACTCTATCAAGCAGATTATTACTGTTTCCATTTAACAAACAGGAAAACTCAGGAACTGAGTGTTTAAGTCACAGAGCCATTTAAAAGAGCCGGGAGATGGGGCTGGGCACATGCCTTTAATTCAAGCAGAATGAAGCAGAAGCAGGCCAATCTCCATGAGTTTGAGACCAGCATAGTCTACCTAGCAAATTCCAGGCCAGCCAGAGCTACATGAGGCTTTGTCTACATTCATTCATTCATTCATACATACATACATACATACATTCATACATACATAAATGCCAGAGACAGCCTGGGTGTTTAGCCTACATGAGGTCCTAGGGATGAAGGGACAAGGGAGGGGGTGGTGTGGCCAGGATGCTGGGGATTGTCACTAAGAAAATCTCTGGTGTCTCCACAGAATGGTACTTCATGGTCTTGGACTCCATTTTCCTCTCCATCTACGTAGTTGAAGCTGTGCTCAAGCTAATTGCCCTGGGCATGGAGTATTTTTACGACCCATGGAACAATCTGGGTGGGTGGGTTGTTGGAGAGGAAAGGAGCCATTGAACTGCTTGGGCGGAGCTTGGGACAGAGGAGGGACGCTGGCTTGGGAAGTCCGTGGGTCTTGGAAAGCCCGTGGGTCTTGGGAAGCCCGTGGGTCTTGGGAAGCCCGTGGGTCTGGGCTAAGGGTCTGTTGGGTCCCTGCCCCACTCAAGCACCCCCTATCTGCCTTCAGACTTCTTCATTATGGTCATGGCAGTGCTGGACTTCGTGCTCCTCCAAACCAACTCCCTCTCCTACTCGTTCTACAACCACAGCCTGTTCCGGATCCTCAAAGTTTTCAAGAGCATGCGGGCTTTGAGGGCCATCCGGGTCCTTCGGAGGCTCAGGTCATTGCCGCCAAGGCTGCTTGTCTTGGTGTGGAGATTGTCAAGGAAAAGGGCACAGGGGCCTGGATTTCCAGGGAGTGTATTGTGACCTGTTTCAGGGATGATGGTGGGTTGGCACTGTGGCCCCTTGCATGCTCGGGATAAGCCTCCCTGGGGTCCTTGCTAGGGCCGATCTCTTTATTTCCAGGAAGGATGGTGACATGACTAAGTCACCAGTGAATTAGAGAGTCCCTAACTTTAGTGCCCAGTTTAGTTGCTGGGTGCAGCTCTCTGCTTCCATCCCCACTGATTCAGGCCCCTCTTGCCCACGACCCCAGCATCCTCACCAGCCTCCACGAAGTAACCGGGACGCTGAGTGGGTCTTTGCCGTCTATCACAGCCATTCTCACCCTCATGTTTACCTGCCTGTGTATCCTGTGCCGTGGGGGTTGGGTGGCTGCTGGCAGGGCAGATGGGAGTGGGGAGAAGCCTGTAGGGAAGGGGCAGTGAACGCGGGCGAGAGGCGGGCACGGCTTCCGGTTCTGGTGTGGCCCTGAGCAGTCGCCAGTCCTCTTCTCTGTGGTGCTCCGGGCACTGTTCCGGAAATCGGACCCCAAGCGCTTCCAGAACATCTTTACCACCCTATTCACCTTATTCACCATGCTTACTTTGGATGACTGGTCCCTCATCTACATGGACAGCAGGTCCCAGGGTAGGCAGAGGGCAGGGTCCAGGGTCCATGGGCAGACGCTAATGGCTCAGTTACATCTGCCATCTGGGGGCTGCTGATAGCTTCTGGAAAGCGTGGGGACTGGGGAATGCCTTTTGATTGACACTTTCCCTCGCCAGGGGCCTGGTACATCATCCCCATCCTCATGGTCTACATCATCATCCAGTACTTCATCTTCCTCAAGTGAGGCACCCGCTTTACTGCAGCTTCCCCAGGAACTCCCTGCCTATCCCACCCGGCCATGCCAAAGGGACGCAGAGGACAGGATGTGGACTCTTCTCTGGTGTCCCCTTTAAGAGCCCCACTGTCCCCTCTGCAGCCTGGTGATTGCTGTCCTAGTAGATAACTTCCAGATGGCTCTTCTCAAAGGCCTAGAGAAAGAGAAGCTAGAGGTACCAACCTCCTGGGGGGAGACGGGCGGGGGAAGGGCATGGAGGACGGAGTGCTCCAGGTGTGGGGCCAGGGAAGAAACCTTGGTAGAACTGAGGCCTTTCACCTAGAAAGCTGCCCGGGTCCACGAGAAGTTGTTGGATGACTCTCTGACAGAGCTCAACCAAGCAGGTACTGGCCAGTCCTTCCTCCTTCACATCCCCTCCCTGTCCTGAGAAGCCAGGCTGCTTCAGGACTATAGGATCTGAAACATGAGAGGACTATCCAAGTTTAAAACTTTGGTCCAGCCGGGTGTGTGTGTGTGTGTGTGTGTGTGTGTGTGTGTGTGTGTGTGTGTGTGTGTGTGGTGGTGGTGGTGGCGGCGGCGGCGGCGGCGGCGCACGCCTTTAATCCCAGCACTCGGGAGGCAGAGGCAGGCGGATCTCTGTGAGTTCGAGGCTGGGCTGGACCGATAGCCTCCAAAACAATACAGAGAAACCCTGTCTCGAAAAACCAAAAAAAAAAAAAAAAAAAAAAAAAGAGTCTCATCAGGGAGTTGGTCACACACACCTTTAATCCCAGCACTCAGGAGGCAGAGGCAGAGGCAGGAGGATCTGTGAGTTCGAGACCAGCCTGGTCTACAAGAGCTGGTTCCAGGACAGCCTCCAAAGCCACAGAGAAACCCTGTCTTGAAAAACCAAAACAACAAAAAAGTCTCATCAGGGTCACTCATCCAGAGTTACTCACACCTGTAATCCCAGCACTTGGGAGGCGGACACAGGAGAGTCACAGAATCCTAGACTATATTTGACTGTCTCAAGAGAAGGGGGTTCTGGGGATCTGATATTCTCTTTTGGCCTCCATGGGTGGACTTCAGGCACACATGTAGTACACATGCACACATGCAGGCAAATAGACACAGGGAGACTAAACATACATTTTGTGACAAAGTGAGAGGAAGAAAAAGAAGTGAACATAGACCCTGAGCCTCAGGACCCTGAGCTAAGATTGGCAGAGCGCATCTCCACCCATGGTTGATGGGTTACCTAAACGGAATAACAAATTAATTGGCTCCAATTAACAAGTTGAGAATGCAAAGGATTTGGGGAGTGGTTTGATCCAGTACTCAAGTGATAACCAAAATCTGGAATCTGGTCTCTCACTTTTTGTGCCCCGCTGCCCTTTGTATGGTTTGTTCTTTTGGGGGGAAGGTGGTTCAAGACGCTGTTTCTCTGTGTATCCTTGGCTGTCCTGGAACTCACTCTGTAGACCAGGGTGACCTCGAACTCACAGAGATCCACCTATCTTTGTGGTATGGTGTGGTTTGTTCTTAAGAGTGACATTTTCTTTGTGGCGGCAAAATGTTCAACTGCAGTCCTAGTCCCAAGTCCTCACAGTGTAACCATCCCTACTCTCTCTAGCAGGGTTTTCAAGTGTGATCCCAGCACTTGAGAAGCTGAGAAGAGTTTAGCTTCAAGTTAGGGCTGGCCTGAGCTGTGAAGTGAAACCCTGTCTCAAAGCAACAACAGTGATAAAGAAAACATGTTCCCCTTCTCCCAGAAGTCCCAGTGAACCCCAGAGATGCGCCTCCTCTGTACTGAATGACTCGCATGCCTGGTTTTGAACCAGTCACTCTAGCTTTGAGTGACAAGCTTGACGTCACATGTCAGTGGAGCATCAGTGGTAGCAATACAGCAGGACAAGGACTGAAGCAGGGTGAGGTAGGAGTAGGACATTTGTGCCAAATGAAGGCAGGGAAAGGTTGAGGGTGTAGTTTAGTGGTAGCCTCAAATGCGGGAGGCCCTGGGCACCACCCACCCATTCCTGTTCACCACAAATGATAATGGTGGTGATGATAATTAAGAGATTAGTTCCAGCTGGGTGTGGTAGTGCCCACTTTCAATTCCAGCACTCTAGCAGGCAGAGCCAGGCAGATCTCTGTGTGTTCAAAGCCAACCTGGGTCTGCAGAGTGAGTTTCAGGCCAGCCAGGACTGCACAAAAAAATACAATGCGAATGAAAAACAAAATCATAGCATGCCCCACAACTAGAGGAGCAGAATTTTAGGGGCTGGTAAAAAATTCCTTAAGGCCTCTCTTATACTTCCTAAGTTTATTTTGCAAGACAGGGTTTCTCTGCATAGCCCTGGCTATCCCAGAACTTGCTCTGTAAACCAGGCTGGCCTCAAACTCACAGAGATTCGCCTGCCTCTGCCTCCTGAGTGCTGGGATCAAAGCTGTGCACCACCATGCCTGGTGAATACATCCCTTGTACTTACTTGTGGGATTCCTCCACCTTCTTGCATCCATTTTCCTGGACACCCTCCTCACCATGCCTCTCTCTCCACCCAGATGCCGAGGCCCAGATGAGCGAGGGCGCCTTGCAGATGCAGTTTATTGAGAGAATGTTCAGCACCATGACAGAGAAGTGAGGAGATGGAAGGAAGGGGAGGCCTTGGGTCCCAGCAAGAGATCTGGAGGCCTGATGGGGGCTGGAAGGGAAGAACATTGGCTGTCTCTCTTGGGTAGGAGGAAGTGGGTGCAGACTCAGACTTGTTTCCACACCCACAACTGGGACATGGGATCCATCAGCACCCCTGGACAGTGAGGCACAGCACCCAGCTCTCAGAGAAAGACTAGTTTCTGCACTGCAGGAACCATATCGGTAGCAGAGTTTCCTCTTAAGTATCCTGACCCTTGTCAGATTCAGGCCCCATGAGGGTGCAGGAATGCAAAGAGAAGTCAGACCTTAGTACTGCCACCCAGGTCCACGCTGCGAGAACCTTTGCTGGTTCATTAGAGACTGACCGGTTTCAGCCATGTGGAAGGTTGAAGGAGGACTGTGGGGGATTGTTGGGGCAAGGTTTGGAGACTGCATGGTCACACCTTGCCCCTATCCATCCCTGGCCAGGCCAGCTGAGGCCTCCTGCAGAAAACTAGGGTGCTCTGCAACAGGCTGCTTCTTAGGCCTAATTCTCTTGAGGTTCCTTGTAGAAGCCAAGCTCTGTGCCTCCACCCCACAGTCAGTCTGGCTCCAGACCACTATCCAAGAGTTGACAGCCTCTGGGATCTGCACACCTGGAGACAATCCAAGACCGGCAGCCTGGCATCCAGGCTCCTGTGTGATAGGCTATTGCCAGCTCCCTTCATATCACAGCTGTTGCTACCTATGGCACAACCTTGTGTTACCCACATTCTTTCCTAAGCTGACACATATTGAGTCCTGCCAGGCTTCTGCCTACACTATTGCTTTGGTTAGATATTGATGCCAGGCTCAGGTGACCAGGATTTAAGGGAACCAACTACTGTCACCTGGGGCCACTCTCCTGATCATCCTACATGTTCCAGAACCTGAGCCACCACTGTTGCCTCTGTCATACTTCTTTAGGGGGTATAGTCCCTACTGGCCCCCTCCACTAAGAGTATCTCTCAGTGTAGTTTTGGTTTTCACTCTCTGTTGAGCTTAAGGGTTGATCCTAGCTCCTCCTGGCCCCTCTGGATAAAGTTCAGGCTATTTCTTCTGAAACAGATCCTCAGCGTTGTGTTGACACTTATAATGTGTTGTAGTTGTCTGGTTCCAAGAGTGACACCTCTTCCTTGTTCATCTCAGTGTCCTTGTAGAAATTGGCCTTTTCTATTCCCAGTGCTTTTGGCAAATGGATTGATAAGCTCCAATGGGTGGGCGAGTGAGTAAGGGACATAGTTGAATGCAGATGGGTGGGTGGATGGTTGTTCAGACTGAGTAGGTGGATCCAGAGAAGAACAGGTAGGCGGAGGGGTGGGTAGGTGTGGGAGGATGCAATGGCTGGACAGATGAGTAAGTGCCTGGGCACATGAAGCATAGGCAGGTGGTTGAGTTGGTCCATGATTAGGTTTGTGTAGATCAATGGGCAAGAAGATGAGTATAAAAATAAATATATGGTGGGATAATTAAAAGATAAACCATTGCTGATGCCTTATGGCACAGGCAGGGACATTTTGGGTAGTGGACAACAGGCAGATTTACCAGGTATAATGGTGTACACTGGTAACCTCAGCTCCTTGGGAGGCTGAGGTGAAAGGATCACAAGTTCAAAGCCAGTCTGGACAACTCAGTGGGAACTCATCTCAAAATAAAATTGTTAGGAGCTAGAAGAGATGGATAAGCCTGTATTATGCTCCCTGTGCAAGCATGAGGATCTGAGTTTGGATCCTAAGAGCCAGGTAAAACACTAGGTATAGCTGTGCCCCTGCACCTGCAATCCCAGTGCTGAGGAAGTAGCATCAGGAGGATCCTTGTGCCTTGCTCGCCAACCAGGCTAGCCAATCAGTGAGCTCCAGATTCAATGGCAGACACCATCTTAAAAAATAAAATGGAAGTCTGGTGGTGGTGGCCCATGCCTTGAATCCCAGCACTGAGGGGCAGAGGTAGGTGGATCTCTGTGAGTTTGAGGCCAGCCTGGTCTATAGAGTGAGCTCCAGGACAACCAGACAGAGGAAACCCTGTCTCAAAAAAACCAAAACAAACAAACCCCAAACAACAACAATAAAAAAAGTAGAGAACAATGGAGGAAGATACCCAACACTGACTTCTGGCCTCCACACACACGCACACATGACTACACAAACATATATACATACACAAAATAATTGATAAGTAAAAGCTATAAAAAAGAGACATGCTGGAGACAGTGGTCTAGGTCATAGCAAGCAGAGCCGTGTTAGGGCCCTAGGAACCCGGTCCTTGCCTCTGCCACCTCCAGGCAGCGAGAGCTCCACTTCCAGTTCCTGCAGTTGGTGGCATCGGTGGAGCAGCATCAACAGAAGTTTCGTTCCCAAGCATCTGTCATTGATGAGATTGTGGACACTGCATTTGAGGTGAACAGGAAGGACAGGGGCAGGGAAAAGGTAGCGAGAGGCTTGGGGGTAGGAGCTCTTACTCAAAAGTGGTTCTGAGTAACAGGCATGGCATTGGCAAAAGTTGACCCTTGTTCACACACACACCTTATCTGACCCCACAGGCTGGAGAAGAGGATTTCGGGAAATGATCCTGCAGAGTACCACCATATCGACTCGAGCCTCTGGCAAATGGCCTACCAGGATGGGTCGGGACAAGTCCCTAGCTCTGCTGGCATTGTTATCCAGAGCTGTGCTGGACTGAGGTCCCAACAGAGTTTTAAAAACCCCAGATGGCACTGTGTCCTCACTGGCTAGCCTGGAGCAAAGAGCAAGGGGAGCTGGGCATCGTGCTGCGGGCGGCGGGCGTGTGTCAAGAGCTGCATGTCCAACAACACATTAGAAGAGATCAGAAGAGGACGCAGAAAGAGGAGCCTGATGCCAGTGGTGGTGGCACATACCTTTAGTTCCAGGATAGCCAGGATACACAGAGAAACCCTATCTTCAAAAACCAAAAACCAAAACAAACAAAAGGAGACTGGGGCGCTGATGAAAGACCAGTTGTGAAGTCCTCTGCTTATGTGCTTAGGGAAGAAAGCTTGTCTGGCCTGGGGTCAAGAGAAAAAGAACAGACTGGAGCATCCCAGAATTATCAGGACTGCATCAGACACCAGGCATGAGGCCCAGCACCCAGGAATTCAGGCTTACTAGGAACCCCAGCATCTAACATAAGGTTGCCAACCTAGTGGGAACATTAATCAAAAGGTGAATGGTGGTGCACGCTTTTAATCCCAGCACTCGGGAGGCAGAGGCAGGCGGATCTCTGTGAGTTCCAGGACAGCCTGGTCTACAGAGTGAGTTCCAGGACAGCCAGGGCTACACAGAGAAACCCTGTGCTGAAAAACCTAAATTAATTAATTAATTAATTAATTTAATTAAAAGAACACAGGTTAAGAAACAAAGAGAAGAAGGAAGGAAGGGAGGAAGGAAGAAGGAAGAAAGGGGGAGGAGCTGGTGTGTGACAGCCAGGCGGTTCAGATCCCTTGCTACTCTTCCGGAAGACCCAAATTCAGTTCCCAGCACCCACATCAGACTGATTACAACCACCTATATGTCAGCTCCAAGGATCTGACAGTTTTTTAGCCTCCACTCACATGCTCAACCCACACACAGACACACATGCATGTACGTGAATATTCCAAAACTCCTAGAGGTTAGAGGTCATTGACATCCCCTTCCCCACCTGAAGTAAGAGTACAAAATCTAGTGAAGAGGCAAAGGAGGCCTCAGAGCAGATGGGGACAGGGCCATGTGACATGGACCAGCTACTGTTGGGAGAGGGCCACAGAAAATGACTGCTTCTGCTCAGGCTGCTTTAGGGCTTAAATGAGCCCCACATGCACTACCTGGGCCCCAGAAGGATGCCCAGAGCCCCTGTGTTCACAGGAGGACTTCCAGTGGGACACTTGTCCGTGGTAATCACTGAATTAAGGTGAAGTTCAGTTCTGGTACAGGGTCTCCCCATCAAGGGCTAGCCTTCTTTCATCATTTAGAATCACCTTACTCTAGTGCCGACCAGTCTAGGGGATCGTGTAGGCTGGAGGGACCCCAAAACGAGAGCTGGAAGATGGTTTGGCCAACACCCACACAGGCTATATGTCTTTTCCCGGAAGCAGTGTAATCACTGGAACCTTAGGACAGAAACATCACTTGTAGAGACTCCTCTTTCTAACCTTGCTTAGTCATGCCCAGGCCCAGGAATACACCAAGCAGGGGAAATGCCATCTGAGATTTGGGCACAGAAGCCCAGGGGTGGAGAAACCACTACATGGGCTTCCTTGAGTCTTGCCTCTCCCCAGGCCTCACACATTCATTCAGCAAGTTTTTCCTGCCATTTGCCCTGTCCTGGCTCCATGCTGCTGTCTCCTGCTTGATAAACCTTGGGAAACCTTCCAAGCAGTGACTACACAGCACAAACTAAGCTGCCATGGGTTTTAGCTCCCAGCAGAAGCAAGACTGCAAGTTGTCCCCTATGTCAATATCAAATCCAACCCCTCAGTGTGTCAGGCTTCCCAGGTGGCACTCAAGTCTCCATTCCCTCACTGATGTGGCTTTTGGGTGGGAGGAGGAGCGTCAGACAGAACAAGTTAGGTGTGAGGCCTTCCTTAGAGAAGGCATGAAGATGAAGATGAAGATGCTCACTCTCCGCACCACCCCATGATGCCAGCTTGAGCCTAGTGCTCCCAAAGCAACCAGTGACTGTGGCCTGTCCCCAGGGTAGACGCTTGTTAGTGTCTGAGCACTTCTGGACATGACTCAAGTGTGGCTTGGGTGGGTGGGTGGGGGCTGTATACGCACCTCTGGGTTACTTCCTGCTTCTCTGGGGCATGCCCTTTCCATGTGTGTCTCTGCTTGTGTGTTTCTAAGTTGTGTGACTAGCATTTCTTTTATGGGGGGAAGCATGTCTGTAATGTCTACTAGCACCTGAGTGGGTTCTGTGGCTGTCCCCTCCCCATTTGACACTGTTACAAGAACTGTAACCACAAGAATGTAATACCCATTTCCTCCAATCCAACATGACATTGAATGGACCCTGTTCCCTCCTGTGAGGGAAACCCTCCAGGGTAGCAACTTTGCTCTTGTCCCCTCTGGTGTCCCATGGCACAGGTTCTTTTAGGAATCTTGCCCAGAGCAAAACACTGAGAAAATACCTCTGGGGAGGTTGTGCAAGGCATGTTACTAGCTTGGTGGCCTCTTGGCCTATGGGAACACTGAAGGAGAGGAAGTCACTTCCTACTACAATGTGCACAAGAATATTTGTGACCAGTCCCTGGAGCCCATAGAGTTGAACACCCACATCATCCAACAGCCCTCCTGACCCCAGCTTTTGACTATATTTTCTCATCCCCATCCTTCCCCTCAGAGTTCCAGGGTGAACCCAGGAAGAGATGCTAGTCCTGTTCACACAGGCATCCGTGCTGTAACTAGTCTTGGGACATCATCCCTCTTTCCTGATGTTTCCTTCTCCCTTACCTCTGAAACTACTGCAAGTGTCTAAAGAGTGGCTTCCCACTTGAGGAGCGAACCCCCAGCACTGCCTCAGACGGCTCAGAAGGGGCTCTCTGGGGGCTAAGGGCATAGGACCCTGTCAGCTGCAGAGTTGAGAGTCTCTGGGAGTCAAGTGAGAGTCAGGGTGAGGCAAGCACACAGGAGACACCAATGCAGGAAGCAGTGTGAAGAATTTATTGCAGCAGATAAGGCCCATGGCCCTGCAGTGCCTCCGGACCATGCTTGTCAGCCCAGGGGGGGGGGGTTACACCTGCATACAGTTATGCTTTAGAAGCTGAGTGGTGTTCTCCCAGGGGACTTCAAGGACCTCAAAATGGCAGCGCAGCTTCTGAGGAGGGAACACAGGGGACAAGGAGGGTGAGCTGGGCCCAGCAGCCAGTCTCCTACCTGCCACATATCTAGGAGCCAGGGACAGACCATCAGAAGGTCCAAAACATGAGGTCAGAGGGCAGGAGGTGACCCCAGACCTACCAGGCAACTCCCACCCCAAAAAGCCCCAATCTCTCCTCCCTGCACCTCACCCTGGCCTGAGTCACACACAGACCAGTCAGGACCGGTCCAGCCAGGCCAGATGGACAAGTTGAGGGCCTCAGGCTCTGCAGAGGGCTGGGCTGGGGTTAATGCTGTTACCTCCTGCTGCACCCCTGCGGCCAGGGGGCAAGTGGTGAGATCCATGTGGTCCCCAGAGACTCTGGTCTTTCTGCACTCCGTGCTCTCTAAGTCCATAGTCAGGTACCACTTGAGGCCAGCCACCAGCTGGGAACAAGATAGGGCAGGTCAGAGATGCCTGGGAGCCTGGCCTGGGTGCCTACTCTTTCCCTCTGAGTCTTCAAGTTCACCTCGCAAATACAACACTCTGGCCTAAGAATTCAGACCTGAAGTGGAGATGGGGGTTTCTAGGTGTGACCCAGGGGTAGAGGTACAGCCTAGGCCCTGCAGGGAGGTTGAAGAGCCCCTGTCCACAGCCAGGTCAGATATGGAGAATGGCACGTGACACCTACTGTCTGGGCCCCTCCCACTACGCCTGCCAGGGTTAGTTATGCCAAAAGAGGTTGAATCATGCAATTTTTTTTTGATATTTAGATAACGTTGGTTACCATAGGTTTTGCCATTTATCTATTTTTGTTTAAGTATTTCTTAAAATGGTCTCGGCGACACGGTTGGCCTAGTGCCCTCTTGTGTTTGGTAGCGGGCCAGCCGCTCTCTGGCCTGTCCCCTGTTCCTTTCCCTCTCCACACAGCTACGTCTGTCCCACAACCACCAGCCACCACACCTGATACTCTGCGTTGAGGATTTTGGTATCTCGGAAGTAGTAGAGGCTGTTGCTGCCCATGTTGTAGCTGCTCACAGCTGCCTGCGCGGCCTTCTGCACCCGCGGGTCGTTGGGAGACAGGTTCTGGCGTTCTCCGGTCCTGCGACTCCGCAGCTCGGCGCGGGCGTCCGGGGATAGAGTCAGGAGGCAGAATGCGAGCAGGGCCAGGCCCATCGCCAGCGGGAAGTGAGGACGCTCCATTGCTGCAGATGTCAGTGCTGGAGCTCCATCCTGCGCAGCTTTTACGGGCTCGGCGAGGACCGCGCCCGGCTCCGCCCACCGCCTACCTATTCTCTTGGTAGGCCTGGACCCGCTGCAGGTGCCTGGAGGCGGCTGTACCGCCCCCACCTAGGTCCTTGTAAAGACCAGGGGCAGCACACAGGTCCCATAATCTCTATATGGAAAGGGCAGTGAGTGTTTACCAGCACCAGGAGTCACCACAGGGACAGGACAGTTCTTACCATGAACCTGCTGTGTGAATTGCCAAAAGCAACTATGTTGAGCTCTTACTATCACCATCGTCTTCCTGCCGTGTAATTTTTAGAGAAATTGCAACCTCTGGCCTCCATTTCTTCTTCTGGAAAATAAATGTAAGGATTAAGTGAATTGACATAGTAAAGAGCCTAGGAGAGGCGGGGTGCTATGAAAGCAGGTAGGAGTCCTTACTTCTCACCGCCATGGTGAGATGGGAGTGACTGGTGCTTGTGCTTTGCAGAGGTGGGAACAACACAGAAGGGAATTTGCTCAATGACATCAACCGGTCCCTAGTAGTGTGTGTGTGTGTGTCTTATGTATCCTAGGCTGACCTTGAACTTGTTGTGTAGCTCAGGATGACCTTGAACTCCTGATTTTCAGACTTTTACCTCCACGTGCTGGGATTACTGTTGTATTCCGTGTGGCCCTGAGAACTGAATCCAGGACTTTGTGCGTTTTAGACAGGCACTACCAACTGACATCCCAGTCCCATTTTATTTTGTTGGGCTTGAACCTAGGGTCTTGTGCATGCTAAGCAAACACTACCACTGAGCTATGTCTTCAGCCCTGTTTTAACTCAGTTTTACATGGGGGTTTGTTCAATCACCCAGCTGACCTTGAGCTCGCTCTGCAGCCAGTCAGGCCTTGAATCTTTGACGCTCCAGCTTCAGCCTCCAGGTAGGGATTATAAATCTATGCCACCAGGCCCAGCTCAAATCTGTGTTCTTAACCCAAAATGAGTTTGAAAGGTTAATAACTGTCCCCCAAAGGAGGAGGTGTCATACCAGTTGCCATCTTACTAACTGGGTGGCTTTGGGACCTCAGGGTCTTATTAGGAAAAAGGTGACCATTCTTTTCTCCTAAAGCTGTTCTGACAATGATGGTTCCAGGGGACACGGGACACACCCTAGGGGACTAGCAGATGAGGAAGTGCTGTGGTGCTTTGGAAGAACCCAGGGGCTTCACGGGGACTTGGCAGTGCTTCCTTCCCCAAGGGTCTTTTGATTTTGCTTGTTTTTAACCATTGCGTTGCCTTTTCCTTTTTTAACCTCTTCCTCCCCCCCTTTTTTTTGAGGAGGGATGTTCATGCCTCAGCATGGGAGAGGATGGGCACATGCCATAGCATGCACATGTAGGAGGTCAAAGGTCAACTTTCCAGAGCTGGTTCTCTCCTTCTGCTGTATGAGTTCTGAAATTTGAACATTGGTCTTCAGTCTTGGCAACAAGCAGTGTTACCCACTGAGCCATCTTACTGGCCCTCCCTGGGGATCTTAAAGGGGGCTTGGAAGAAGCAGCTGCCTTCAGCACCTAGAAGACAATATTTGACAAGTAGTAGCTCTTCTGTGGGGAATATTACCGGTAAGCACCCAGCACACCCCTCCCCCAATTCTAGACCTTTCAGAATGCCAGGGTTATGAAACAGTGATTTCTCAGCCCAGAATGTGATGATCACCCCATCCAGCTACAAGCTTGCTCCACCCGACAGCCCAGCTAGAAAAGACAAACTTGCCAGTGACAGGCAAGGTGTCTCCTGCCTGTGATCCCTGCACTGGGCAGCAAAAACAGGCAGGTCTCTGTGAGTTCAAGGCCAGCCTGGTCTACATAGTGGGTTCCAGACCAGGACTATATAGTAGACTTCTGAAGCTTTGTCTCAAAAAATAAAATAAAAGGCCAGGCATTGGTGGCTCACACCTTAATCCCAGCACTCTGGAAGCAGAGGCAGGCGGATCTCTGAATTCGAGGCCAGACTGGTCTACAGAGTGAGTTCCAGGACAGGCTCCAAAGCTACACAGAGAAACCCTGTCTCAAGAAAAGATAGCACCTCCTTGTGATTCCAATGAAAGGAGACCTCAGTTCTGGTGCAGGCCCTGGTGTGTAGGGTCTGGAGACAGCAACTTGGAAGAGAACTACCCCAACCTTGATCTAACCTTGATCTCTAAGTCTTAACCAGGCAGGGACCCTGATTTGGGGGACGGTGGTGAGGATGCAGACCGAGAAGCCCAGGACAGCTCATAAGGGAGTCTCGGGTGAAGCAGCACCAAGGGGCCAGGGAGCCTCCCCAGCTCTAAGCACACACAGTTCTGCTCGCCTGGCGTGGCATCCAGTCACAGCCACATGTACTTCCTACAGCTGCCTCAAAAATCCCTCAGTTGCAGGGGCTGGGAAGATAGTTTATTTGGTAGAGTTCCCACCACACAGATCCCCAGCACCCACATAAAAAACAGGGAGATTCTTGGAATTCATTAGCTAGCCAGGTTACCAGAATTGATGAGCTTCTGACTCCGTGAGAGATCCTGTCACAAAAGAAGGTGAAGATCAAGTGAAGCAAACACTTACTGAGCTCTGGCCTTTACACACATCACTGGCAGCCAGAGAGCAGAAGAGGTCCTAGATTACTGACCCTGCCCTAGCTCCCATTGCCAATGAAGCCAGTGAGTTTTTGTCATCACAATCTAAAAGTCCAAGGACTTTTCAACACACTGGCCTCTTCTCACAATGATCAAGGTGGTTGAGCTTGTTTAAAAATGCATTATTCGACGGGTGGTGGTGGCACATGCCTTTAGTCACAGCACTCAGGAGGTAGAGGCAGGAGGATCTCTTTGAGTTCAAGGCCAGCCTGGTCTACAGAGTGAGTTCCAGGACAGGCTCCAAAGCTACACAGAGAAAGCCTGTCTCGAAAAAAAACCAACAACAACAAATGTGTTATTCAGAGAGTTTATCTGAGGTTATTTGACTAAACTGGAGTCTTGGAGGGAAAGATGGAGGGAGAATAGTAATTAACAATTCCAGACCCTTACCATGCACCTGACCTTGTGCTAAGGCCTGACATATCTTATTCTCGTGGACCCTACAGAGCAGTGGTTATTAACTCTTCCTACTAAGAAGTGAGATCATTCTAGCTAGACAATAAGACAACAAAAGGAGATCAAGGGGATACAAATTGGAAAAGAGGAAGTCAAATTCTATTTGCTGATGTTATGATAGTTTACATAAGTGACCACAAAAAGTCTACCAGAGAACTCATACAACTGATAAACACCTTCAGTAATGTAGCAGGATATAAGATTAACTAAAAAAAAATAGGTATCCCTCCTATATACAGATGATAAACGGGCTGAGATAGAAGTCAGAGAAACATCACCCTTTACAATAGCCACAAATAACATAAAATATCTTGGGGTAACTCTAACCAAGCAAGTGAAAGACCTGTATGACAAGAACTTTAAGTCTTTAAGGAAAGAAATTAAAGACGATATCAGAAAATGGAAAGACCTCCCATGCTCTTAGATAGGTAATATCAACATAGTAAAAATGGCAATCTAACCAAGAGTAATCTACAGTTTCTGTGCAATCCCCATCAAAATCCCAGGACAATTCTTCACAGACCTGGAAAGAACAATACTCAACTTTATATGGGAAAAACAAAAAAACCAGGATAGTCAAAACCCTGTGCAATAAAGAATAACCTTCCCTGACTTCAAGCTCTACTATAGAGCTATAGCAATGAAAAACAGCTTGTTTTTGGCACAGAATCAGACAGGTGGACCAATGGAATTGGATCGAAGATCCTGATATCAACCACACACACCTAAGAACACCTAATTTTTTGACAAAGAAGCTAAAACTATAAAATGGAAAAAACAAGCACATTCAACAAATGGTGCTGGTATAACTGGCTGTGGACATATAGAAGAATGCAAATAGATCCATATCTATTGCCATGCACAAAACTCAAGTTGAAATGGACCAAAGACCTCAATGTAAATCCATCCACACTGAACCTCATAGAAGAGAAAGTGGGAAGTAGCCTTGAATGCATTGGCACAGGAGGCAACCTCCTAAATAGAACATCAGTAGCACAGACACTGAGAGCAACAATTAATAAACGGGACCTCCTAAAACTGAGAAGCTTCTGTAAAGCAAATAACATAGTCAACAAGACAAAATGGCTGCCTGAAGAAGGGGAAAAAATCTTCACCAACCCCACATCTGACAGAGGACTGATCTCCAAAATATACAAAGAACTCAAGAAACTAAACATAAAACTACTAAACAATCCAATTAAAAAATGGGGTATAGATCTAAACAGAGAATTCTCAACAGAACAATCTCAAATGACAGAAAGACACTTTAGGAAATGTTCAACATCCTTAGCCATCAGGGAAATGCAAAGCAAAACAACTCTGAGATACCATCTTACACCTGACAGAATGGCTAAGATCAAAAATACCGTTGACAGCTTGTGCTGAAGAGGATGTAGAGTAAGGGAACACCGCTCCATTTCTGGCAAGACTGCAAACTTGTACAGCCATTTTGGAAATCAGTATGGCAATTTCTCAGAAAATTAAGAATCAGCCTACCTCAAGACCCTGCAATACCACTGTTGGGCATATACCCAAAGGAGTCACACTCACACCACAAAAACATTTGCTCAGCCGGGCGTTGGTGGCGCACGCCTTTAATCCCTGCACTCGGGAGGCAGACGCAGGCGGATCTCTGTAAGTTCGAGACCAGCCTGGTCTACAAGAGCTAGTTCCAGGACAGCCTCCAAAGCCACAGAGAAACCCTGTCTCGAAAAATAAAAAAAAAAATTTGCTCAACAATGTTCATAGCAACATTATTCATAACAGCCAGAACCTGTAAACAGCTTAGATGCCCCTCAACTGAAGAATGGATAAAGAAAATGTGGTACATTTACACAATGGAGTATTACTCAGCCCTAAGAACAATGACATCCTAAAGTTTGCAGGCAAATGGACATAACTAGAAAAATAAGAAACATCCTGAGTGAGGTAACCCAAACCCAGAAAGACAT